AACGTACTAACGGTTACGATTTTACTTGTAGTTGCTTCAGCTTTAGTGTTTTAACAGAAAAAAAGACAAACAATTCTTCGATCGAAGATCTATTAAGTATTTTTACTCCTCTTTTACAGCCCTCCTCCAATATGGTTCGGTAGTAAATTTACGGACTTACAACGCTAAAATCCGAGGTTCAACTCCCGCAATGGACAGAGCATTTCACTAAAACAAACAAATATTTTAAACACTTATTTTTTATTGAAAACTATTCTTAAAGTTAACAGTAAATCATTGTTGTGAGGTTCCAAAATGCTGACTTTATATGTCATTCACATAATTTGTTTCTAGATGAACATTTTGTTAATAATTTATAAGTGTTAACTGCCCTCACAATAACGACCGTGAGCAAACAATATAAGCGCTGTAAAAAAAATAGTATTAAATGCTTTTTACAAAATATTTTATGGCTCTAAAAAAACAATGAAAATATATAGCAATTATAATTTAAACTACCGTTTTTTAGCAGTTTTGATTATATTATGGTAAATCATTTGCCTCTGCTATGCACACATGTTACCTGATATTATACACCAAATGTTGTGAAATAAACGAACCTGTAAACGTGAGTCAAAAATACAATATTTCTATTCCAGACCTGTGATATGTGTACGATGGACTTGATACCAGACATTGCCAGTTGTTTGTTGTTGTTTTTTAAGTGAAAAATAATACAGTTCACTATCTGTGCTGTACCTACGACGGATATAGAACTCCGAATTTTAATATTATGAGCCCTCAAATTTACTGCAGTGCCACCAGGAAGCGACACTAATAGTAATAGAGTAATCAAACCTGTAACTATAAACTGAATAAATACCTTTTTTGTTTTCTTTTTCAGGGTTCTGTTGACCACTTTTTGTTATACTTTCATTTACTTCAGGACAAAAAGGAAATTGTTAATGTCTAGTTGCACTTGCAAGTCTAAAAATATTTATGCTTTGCTAAACTCAGCTTCTCTTGTTAATATATTGTTACGTATCTGCTTGTTTGTTTGTTTCTGTTAGAAATTCTTTCCGAGGATCTTCAGCGATACAAGTCCTTTCTTGATTAAACCAGTTTATTCTTCCTCGATACAAACATTTAGTACACAGAAGTTCTACAATCAGTACGTTTCTCGTTACTTTAAACTTAACAACTTTTATAATACATGCTATAAATCACAGCGATTCACAATCTCGATATCTTCGCTCTCGACGAGTGCAAAACACACTTTACGGCTCAGTAGCTCGAAACTAACAGAATCATAAATTAAACGGAACTCAAAGTAACTACTGCTCTCTCTTTATTCATCTCCCCGCTGGCCTTCACTGCCAGGCTTATATACTAACGAGAAGGGCATCTCGAACACACTCAGACTTCCCCGATCATTCGAGAAACTCGTCACGCACGTCACGTAACTTCCGCTGTCGTAACAATATTTTACAGAGCTATTACAAATAGTATTTCAGCTAAGATTTTGATTTTTGAAATCGAGCCGTATTGGGCTACGGGGCTGATATGGCATTTGGTATTTTCAACCTGAATGATATCTTATTCAAGGCATAGAGAAAATAGTTGAAATGATCAAGTCAGAGACTCCAACGTTTAGATACAGCCTTCACTAACTTAAAACTAGTGACAAGAATGAGAGCAATCACCATTAACTGCCGTCTACAGGTCTACTCTTAACCGAATTAGGGAGATTGACTGTTAAATTTGCAATTTGTCCATAGCTGAAAGCGTGGAGCAAGTTCAGCAGTATATTGTGGACTCAAACCCAGCATATTAAGTAATAGGTCATGTCCAACTGCTATGGCATTGAGCAAAAAAACTAAATTATATGATAGTCGGTTTGTATCCTTCAATGTACTTGCTTAAGATGCCAAAAAATGAACCTTTAAATTATCATTGGTCTTTTATTATACTTATTTGCCTAAATAACATTTTTTCTTTGTCAAATTAGAATGTTAGCATAATACGATTTAATAATAATATTATTATTATTTTCAGAATAAGAATTATCAATAGCTAGCCAGGGTAGCGCTGTTGTTGTTCTGCCACGATGGCGATAGTTGATAGTGAATATTTTTTACGGAAACTGTGACTTTATTTATTATAATTTCTGTATTATATTTTTATTTTAGAATGACCAAAAGGGAACTCTAATGTATTTGGTTTTGGCTTCAGCAGTAATTCATGAAAGTTTCCACTTGGTGTGACATTAGTATGCTTCCTATGTTTCTTCGCATTGGTCATTTTGATGTGATGATGAATTGATTGTATCTAAACTACAGGCGAAGTAGAAGTAAATGCATTACTGTTGATCCATCACAGTCGATCTGACGGTTTCGTATTTCATAATAACTCGTCTTGCCTGCTGTGGATGTGATAAGGTTTATACAACATAGAAATAGACTGAATACAGAATAGTGTGATACTGATACAATAGTTATACAAGACATTGGTTAACAATAGCAGGGTCAGGGAGTTAGTCTTAATTACATTTAAAAAAAAATTAAGTAGTTTGTTTAATAAATAAAAGTGTTTTGTTCAAAGCACTATTAGTGCTTTTTCAAATTCATTTTTATATTAATGATTTGTATAGGCTTGATGTAATTAAACACAAGTGATATACCACTTAGCAGAGAGAGTGTATCTAACTTCCATTCTAAGTTTACATTTTAATTGATAAAATCAAGGTTAATGAGCATAAACTGAGAAACTGCAACAGAATTAGAACTTGTAAAAATAATACTTTAATAAATTAATTTTATCTAGAATACTGAAAGAGAACATAGCTATGTCCAAGCAAATGAGACAAGGGTGCACTCTACTTATATTATAATACAACATAAACTATTATAGTTAAGGTGTATGTAAAAAATAAATAAAAACAATCTAAAGTATGGAAAAATCATTACAATTTTTTTTGCTGTGACTTTTTATATTTCAGAGTTCTTGATTTCTAGGTATATTTTGCATAAATTTATAAAATGTAAATTGATCCTTGTGTGATCACAGGCACCCATGGATGGCCTCGAACAATTACAGTATGACCTGAATTTATAAAACTAGTTAATATATACTTAATGTCATTCTGTTTTGTTTACTGTGTTCTTTAATATTTTGCAAAGTTATTAAAATTCCCTATTAATACATTTTGGATCAATTTATTTTAATTACAGAATTTAAAAAAATGGATTCCTTGGAAGTAGCTGAATACTTGGAAAAGGATAGTGTTGATTTACTTGATTCATTTGAAATGACTGTGCAATGGCATGGAAGGATAGTAAGGAAAATTATCTTCCTGAACTTTGTAACTTAAAAACTCAGTTTACTCAAATCTGTGAATGGCAGCTCAAAGTACTAGAAGAAAAAGAATTAAGTCAAGAGGAAAAAGAGCAGGTAACAGAAATATATCATTCATGCATTTAATTCTTAGAAATAAGCATATGATTTTAATATATTCAAATTTTGCTTTTTAAACAAATTGATCTTGAAAATATAGGCAAGTTTTGTACTTTGTAAAAATATAGAAATGAAACTGATTGGCTCATGAGACATTCCAAAGGGACTATTTTTATAGAATATTTGTGGTAACAAGAATAAATGGAAAGTCTTTGCAATGTGTGTCATTTGTTTGCACTTGGTAAGATATTATACATAAGCATTTCTGTAAATCAGTGCAATATGAAATATTATATATATATATGCTTTTAAAATATAGAGAACCAAAAGCCATTTGGTCCTTAAAGCCTATCCTTTCAGTTTCCCCCTTGTTAAAGTAAGAATTTAATCCAATGGCTAGATACCCAGCAGCCAGGAATGATCTTTCAAATACCTGGTAGCCCAAAAATTTGAATATTGATGAGCTATAATAATAATGTTAATAATAACTAATGATAATTTCCAAAATATCAGAAATTATATATAAATTATCATATTGGAAGCTTATCAGTGTTCATGATCATCATGAAAGTACGTACTACCAGGTATCTAGTATTTTGAAGCTTGTATGAAACATACATGCCGATCATCACTAAACAAGAATGACTATTAATATTTATTTTTCCAGTATAAAAGTTTTATTCGGACGTTTCATCGAGCTTGAAGACAAATCAGTTTATTAATTTACTATTACTCATTCTCTAAGTCAAGTGAGAGGTGATTGTAGCTCATCAGTATTCAAAGTTTTGGACTGCTGGGTATTTAGTATATGAAAGATTGTTCCTGGCTGCTGGGTATTTAGTATTTGAAAGATTGTTCTTGGTTGCTGGGTATTTAGTACTTGAAAGATTGTTCTTGGCTGCTGGGTATTTAGTATTTGAAAGATAGTTCCTGGCTGCGGGGTATTTAGTATTTGAAAGATTGTTCCTGACTGCTGGGTATTTAATATTTGAAAGATTGTTCCTGGCTGCTGGGTATCTAACCACTGTGAAAATTTAAACCTACCCTGTATTATTCAGGAAATCACTGATTCATTTTTAGGCTCTTTTAATGTTTTGACTTATTTTACTACTGATGGCAACTAATTCCATGTCTGTAACTATATTAGAAAAATAAAAGTGACTTAACTGTAGTCCAACCTGTCTTTTTTCCAAATCTTCAACATGTGTCTTCTTATCCTATTATCTTCAGGAAATAGCACAAAGAAATCATAGGCCTTTGCATTATCTATCCCCTTGTATAATTTGTGAACTTCAATAAGATCACTTTTTACCCTTTTCTCACGAAAAAATAAGTTAAAATATCTTAATCTTTAGCTGTAGTTTAATGTCATCATCAAACTTGACCATATTAATTACTCCCCTATCAATATCATCAATGTAATTATGAAAAAGGGAAGGTCCCAAGTCTGAAGCACTCCACTAATGACAAGCATCCAATTTGACTGGACTCCATTACTCACAATGTTTGCTTTCCTTCATCCAAACGTACTGTAATCCAAATTACTTGTCTTTTCCCAACCCATTTTGATGTGATTTTTCGAGTTAAACATTTTGTATGGCACCTTATTAAACACTTTTTTTGAAAACTTAAGTGCACCAAGTCCACACCCTTTCTATCATCTAGATAACATGTAACATCCTTTAAAAAAGTTAACAGCTTAATAAAAGAGGATTTCACTATAGTAAATTTATGTATGATAACATATTTCACCAGATTATTTTCTAAAGCTTCTTTTATCAGAATTTGTAGACTTTTTCCAGAAGTAAGACTAACTGGTCTATAATTTCCAGGGCAACTGTTATCACTTCCCTTTAAAAATGGGAGTAACATAAGCAACTTGCCCGTTATCTACTGACTTATCAGAACTGAAAGAGAGAGGTTCATGTATCTGATCTTTGACTTCTTTTAAAACCCTGGAGAAAACCTTGTCTGTCTCTAGTGCTTTATCAGTTTTTTAATCTCTCATTCTTTCTACTTATCACCAAGTCAATTTCAGTATTTCCCATAGAATGTTCAGGATCATTTAAAACTATGTACATCAGAAAATATAGGTAATTGGCCATGTCACATCAAATGAAACATATTTAACATGATATAAAACCCATAATGTAAATAAGAACTGATATACTTCTAAGATAGCATTTAATTTAAATATTGTTTAATTTGCTATTTTACTTACTGTATGTTTTCAGTCTTGGGAATTGGATAAAGACAATGGAAATTTTTATCTTGGAGATTATATAGCAAATTGTTATTACGTGAAATGTGATGTTATAAAAATAGTTTTGTACTTTACAGCTTCATGTACAGCACATTGTTACTTGTAATACATGTACGACAATGCGAAACCTCTCTGACTTTTATTGTAAATTTTTTTTCTTCTGAAAATGGAAATGTGATGAATATGCCTTTGTAAATGTATAATCATACAAGAACTGAAACCTCATGAACACATTTGTAAAGGAGTAGTTATTCTGTATTAAGGCATCCAGATTGTTGAATCAGTTACTGAATACAGTAGACATTCTGTTACTAGCATGCATTATCAATCACTAAATGTAAGGGTGAAACTAGTGTTATTGAGTATGCAACTGGTAAACAAAAAAACAACTGTATGTACAATAAACTTAGCAGTTCATTATTTCATATAATGTCATAATGGTTCACAATAGAGATTGCAAGGAATTGCACAAAACCCTAATAGAACGATTTGTTTCTTCTACCTTTTACATAAGCCAAAAAACATCGTAAATTCTAGTCTAAACGATGTTATCATTACCCCTTTAAGTTAGCTTTTTTACAACTACTAGCCAATAATAGATGAACATTAGATGACTGTAACATGTAGATATTAAATGCTTTGTACACTATACAATCAGTGTCTTTAGAGAGCCAACCCCTATAATATGTATGAAGTGAAAGAGTAAAAAAAAATCAATACACATAATATTAAATTTTATTACACACATTCATAGAATAATTACTTTAAAAGACATAAAGGTTTATTTAAAGTGATGTTTAAGACATATAAGTTTTATTTGAAAAGGCTGCTTTTCTAGTGGTAAAATTTTATATGCAGTGGGGGTTGTGTCTTAGTCCAGGCATAAATTTGCCCATTACTATGCATTATATACAGAGGATTTAGTTACACAGAAACAATAAATGCTCGTTATATTCTCAAACAAATTTCCATGGCAATCTCCAGCTGCAGCTTAACATTTTACATCTTGAATTAATGCGATCAAATAGTCAATAGCTACAGTAAATCATCATGAACCATATCAACTAGCTACTAGTTATGTTTATTATCATTATAACGTATAAAGTTGCTACCATATCAAGTAATCCTTTGCCCATAGTTGAGCATAAAAAAGTCAGCAAACAAAATAAATAAAAAATTGAGAATTTAAAAACCTGCATATAGGGATCATAAAACAAGTAAGGAAACAAGGCTGGAAGTACTGTAGATATTATTTACTCAAACTAAAAACTCCTATTTTTAGCTCCACCAAATGTAATTGTAGGTAACAGCATGGAGCCAAAATAGGGGTTTGTGGTTTGAGTAAATAATGTCTACAGTATCTCCAGCCTTGTTTCCTTACTTTTTTTATGATCCCTATTTACAGGTTTTTGAATTCCCTCCTTTTTATTTATCTTGTATGAATTGCATAATCAGAGTGGCATATTATGTCATTATCTTCACAGAAATCATCAGTTTGTTCAAACCAATGACTTGCAGAACACACAATGCACATATTACTTCCTTGTATATACATACACCATGTTTTAATGATGCTGGTATTTCTATGTTCCTTCCTTTTGGAACACTATGTAGTATAAATCACATGTATGACCTCTCTGTCTGTTATAGTTTATATGCACTTACCTATTCTACAGGTTATTCTGTGAGCTCGTGTTTTAGTAGTTACCATTTTGTTTCCTGATCAACCCCTACTTGACTTACGGAGTCATGTACTGAATCAAGTATCCATTAGAAATGCATGTTTGTTTTAAGAAATAGTCAGAATTCAAATATATAGATTATTGATTATATTTCCCATTGTGAAGATTTGTCCACATAAAAAAACTAATTTGGATTATGAATAATCCAAATTGTCAATGTTCCGACTAACGAAAGTTCACTGTACATAAATACTATTGGGTAGAAGAAAATAGAAAAAATCTAAATGTTATGAATGTGAAGCTAAAATATTTTGGTCTTCTTACTGCTTATCATGAATACTTGTATTGTTTTCTGTTAATAATTTATATTGAATTTATTTTGATATTATAGGAAAAGGGAAAAGTGCTCATGTCCTATGTGAGCATGCTGTCAGACCAAAATGAAGTCTTAATTCAGGCATTGACTCACCTAGAGAAAGAAGCTAAGCAAAGAGTTTCCCAAATGGAGGGAAGGCTAAAGATGAGTGCTAGGACAACTAAGGTAAGGGTATAATTTGTCTTAACGCGAGTTATAGGAACACATTTAATGAAAGGCTGCTGTTTCTACTTATTTTTATTTTCAGTTTCATCAAATGCAGATTTTCATGATGTATGCCTAAATGCTTTTTTTTAACAGGTTTTAATTTATGAAAATGAACCCTACTGAAAAATAATCAAAATACACAAAGATGGCCTGGCAGGTAGAGCACTTGACTCTCAACCAATGGGTGGTGAGATCAAATCCCACTCCCAGACATGCTCGCCCTTTCAGGCATGGGGATATTATGATGTGACGGCAACCCCAATAATTATTAGTAAAGAGTATCCCAAGAGTTGGCAGGGGTTGTGCTGACTAGCTGCCTTTCTTCTAGTTCATTACTTCAAAATTGGGGATGATTAGCACAGATAGTCCTTGAGTAACTTTGCACAAAATTCAACCAACTAACCAACACACACAAAGATTTTTGAAATGAGTATGACCTTATATTCAGAAAAAATCTTTCCCTTTTAAAAGTTTCTCTAAAGAATGCTTTAAATTAGTTAAACTCTTGCAGTCAATAAGAAAATATCACAGATAGTCTTCATGTAATGTTTTTTCATTATAACTCACTCTTATTTTTCATGAAACATGAAAGACATTGGCAGTCTAGTTTTCAACAAGTTTTTTTCCTTATATAGAACATATTAAGTAGTTTTTGAAAGTAAAAAGTAATTTATTTTGTAATGTTATTGTTACATAAAAAGGAGATTTTTCTGTATTCTACTTCATGCCTAATACTAATTCCCCATTCTGTTACATCAGAATAGAGACTGTTTTTGATTTAAAAGACAACTTATAGCTGAAGAGTAACCCTCATACCATAAAACTGGTCCAAATGAATTTATGTAAAATGTATTTTTATAAAAATTGTTGCCCCCAGAGGCACAGCAGTATGTCTGCAGAACTACAATGCTAGAAACAGGGTTTCAATACCAGTGGTGGGCAGAGCACAGATAGCCTTTTTTGTAGCTTTGTGCTTAACTACAAACAAACAAACAATAAAATTTTTTTATAATTTTTCAAAATCAAAGATGGTTTACTTGTGTTATCTTCTTCAAAAGTGTTTCTTTTGATTATTTTATATAGCTAAAAGTTTTTTGTTTTTTTATGAAAATGTTTTGTCATATATTACCAATGTTCGTGACTGAATGTTGGAACAGTCTCAGTTGATCAGCCTCGAAAGTTTTGCGTATAATGGTCATAATATCTGATTGATGACCAAAAAAGTGATGCTCTCTCTCTGTGCGAACTATAATAAGTTGATCATATTAACTCATTCTGCACTTCTAGTATTTTTATTATTATTATTCAAACTTCAACTCCATTCTCATAAAAACAAAAAATCCATCTCTGTACCATAGTATTATCAAGTTATTGTAGTTTATCTGGGCTTTCACAATGTTTTCCACTATGTCAATGCAAGACTAAAAGGTAAAATAGATTTGTTAGTCACTACCATATAATTAATATATAGATACAGAACTGTAGCACTACTTAGAAGAGAAAGTTGGATAAGTAATTGAAATACCCAGTGATTTTCCTATAAATTTACAATGCACATTTATATCATTTACAAACAGATAAATCTACTAGTTGTGCTGTTACGATATTCACCATGAGAGTGCAATGTAGTAGATGTGCATGTACAGACTTGCTTAAAATAATGTATCTGTGTGCTGTTATTTAAAATAACATAACTGTAGACATGTATAAGTAGAATGTGTAATTTGCATATTTTCTAATATTTATAGTTGAATAGATTTATGAAGTTTGTTGATATTAGTATTGTTACTTAAACCAAGATTTAATGAGTCAGATGAACAGTTGTGATAGATAACAGATGATCAAGTAAAATTCACAATAAAAACTTTATTTGGCTGATTTCCATCATTAAAAACTGTATGTTTTAGCAACTTTATGTTGTTCCTACTTTTCATTTTATAATATTTGCACAACTTGCCTTGATTGAATCTTTATTAGATGGTCAAGTAATTTTTGTTTCACTTAGTCCTTTCGTTTTCAAACAGAAAATTAAATATTTTCTAGGAAGCCGTTCTACAGCTCAGTGAGTGGGAACAGGAAATGAAGAAACTAGTAACTCATAAGCATGAACTAGAAGCATATTTAGAGGTAAGAGTGTAGATTACATTATGTTGAAATTCTTTTTCTAATTGATCTTATTCAGATAGTTAACTTTATTTATGTTTACAAAAAATTGACTAACACACTCCAGAAAAAATGATCTTATTCAAAACTGACATTTCAGCTCATGCGTTACTCACGGGTTACAGTGTCACATACAAATACAAACTGATAACCAAAAAGAAAAGATACAACAATTAAAAAGTGTCTTAACTATGGTAATGTCACATTTTATCACGTGTATGTTAAAAGGAATTAGAAGGACTAAAGAACAGAAAATTGCAAGTCATTGAACAAAAAAAAATTAACTACAAAGGTCAAACATTATTTCTGTTTATTTTAGGTTTATAAGATTGAATTAGGAAAGACTTTGAATTTATAATTAGGGAAAATATTACATTTTGCTAAGAGCTTAATGTTAAATGGTGTTTTATTTTCTGTACCATATTTCATTAAAAGTGTTCATCAGTGGCCTCTTTAGAATAGATTCATTCATGATGGTACAGATGTGATCCTTAAAATATTCATGTACTGTATAAGTACTGTATGAACAAATTCTCATGGAGATTTGATGTCCTGATTCAAAATACCAAAGTATCATAAGTTTAATAATACCACCCATCATGTTTTGTCCCATCTGATTTCAATAAAATAATTTCTTCTGGAGTGTGATTTTTTATTTTTGTAAATATGGATTCAATTTTCCAGGCTGCTCTGATAAGTTTAAAAACTGGTAGTTAACTTTATGTTACAGAAGGTCATAGTATCATTTCCAAACCATGGAAAGTTGGTGGTAGCATTAATAGTAAACAAATGGAGATAAAATGGCTGATAAAAGCCAAGAGACAAAAGAATTGATTAAAAATGCTGCAAGAGAAAAGACAAATGCAATGAAATGTTTAAGCCAAAATTTTAATCATGTTTGTCTCTCATTTACACATATCCCCCAGTGGGACAGCAGTAAGTTCAAAGTTAAAATCCTGGGTTCAATTCCCTGTGGTAAACACCGCAGATAGCCCATTATGGCTTTACTCTAAAACAAACGAGCAACATTTACATATAAAATTATGAAAGCATCAATGGGCATAGGGATATGGTATGGTATAGAGGTTGAGTATACTGTATTAAAATGGTATTGGAGCCTTGCAATACCATTACAATCTGTGTCACCACATCCAGTCATGCTCTATCTGATGGCTGTGCATCCTGATAATAGCCTTACAGTGCAGTTTCCATTCCAAAATACTTCATCATAAGACTATCATGCCACAAGCACACAACTACTACTTGATGGCTTTTGTAAACCATCTAGTGTATGGTTACGATGGTATCCTAGTATTTGCTTCAACAGTCTGATTGCACAGAAATTCATAACCATTGCATGTGTCAACTTGACTGATGTGTCTTTGTACAGAATAGCCTGAATACCTGTTTCACTCTCCAGCTGCTTGAGGTATGCAGTGATTGAAGGAATGTCACAACTTGTGTCGCTTTTCCTACTGAGTTACTTCTTGGTTATGTTATGAGTCAAGTGGATGGCTTTTGTTTTTGACCTTTTGTTCCTAGATTCTCACCTGTTACAAGACTCTGCATCTGCACTTTACTTACCAAAACCTGAGTGTGATTTGTTGCTTTTCTCTTTCTGTATTCTCCTGCTGCCCCAATTTGATCCATATTTCTTTGTTTTTCCAATGCCATTAAGTACAAGGTATATCCTCATCTTAGAAATTCTGAATTCTTGTTTTCAGCAAATATTTATGATCTGAGTGTACGAATATTTTGGTGGCATCACACCACCTATGTAGAACCAAACAATATTAAAATGTAATCCTTATACTTGCCATTGCACCATGACTTTATATCGGCTGTGATCATCATGACTTTCTTACTTATGTATTCAAAATTGTTTTTAAATAACATACACAACCCTCTGTAGAAGCAACAGATACAATATCACTAAACATAACAATTGTTTTATAATCGTGTCCTGGTTGACTCATGTTCAGTTCTTAAAATTAATAATATGTTCCAAGAAGATTAAAAACACTACACTTATCAAGATTATTTTTAGAATTCTTTGTGAACCATGATAAGATACATTTTCAGCTTTCATGCCAAATCAGTGTTTTTTTACCTATTTGTTGGGATTGAAACTGCTAACTTGAAATATAACTTCCTTTTATTATTCTAAACATACTAAAGTATTTATAAGCTTCAAAAGCACTTGCTCCCCAGTAACTCAGTGGTATGTCTGAAGGCTTATAGTGCTAAAAATCAGGTTTCAGTGTGGACTATAGACAATACAACTTATATTTGAAGAGTATTGCATTAAGTTTTCACTTAAAACTTGTTGTACCTGATGATACCAGGTTGACCTGGTGAAACATTGTAACCAGAGATATTCTGTATATCTGACAATAAACAAATTTTAAGTTTTATATAACAGAGTACTTCCTTTAGGTATAAACTTATTTTCAATTTCATACTGTGTTTCCTATGCAATATAATTTTCAAAAACCTGGTAGTTATGTTTTTTACGCATCATTTTTAGAAGTGAGACAAGAAAAATGTACATTGATTATCATTCTCAATTTGTCAGGAATGTTTTTTTCCATGACAATTTAATATCTGTTTAAAAGTAATTGCTCATATGTTTTTATCATATAATATGGCTTTCCAGCTCTCCTGAAAAAGTATAGATCTTTCTTCATATATCTGTTTGTTGTTGCTAGGAAACTCAACAATTACTATCAGCTGTGAAGGTTGAAAACAGTTTTTTACGAGACCAGAATGCCAACTACCAGCATGATCTTCAGTCACTACTTCGTGTTATACAAAATGCTCGTTCTACAGGCAACTGGGAGGTAAAGAACTACTCAACCTTTTTTTTTTTATTAGATTTTCATTCATTGTAATCTTATTTTTATAATGTATTTTTTGTTTGTTTTACATTCCTGATGTAAAAAGTGAGATTTGATATTTGTCATGAAATGAGAAATTTTTACACCTTCATTAATTTAATAGTGAGTTATCCCATTTTTGGCTTGTGGACACCTTTCATGTGTAAAGTGCCTATCTGCATATCAAATTTTCAAATTTAGCTAAAAAAAATAATAGTTCTGAACTCATTCTCAAAACATATTTATTCATAATTCATATTTATTCATAATTCATATTTTGTCATTTTGTAACATTACTTTGAAAGAAAAATGAAAAAAAAATCAAACTTGCATTTTCTACACAGTTCTGAGAAGTCTTTTCAATTTTTTTAGAATTTTTCTGCCCATCACAAAGCATATGCTTATATTTGCTAAGGAACTGTCTTTATTTGATAATATAATTACCAATTTTTTTCTGACTTGATTTTCTCCCTATTTCTATGAATTTTACCAGTATGGCCTCATTCAGGTCATAAAATTTACAATCAGAGTTTAAATACTATTGTATAGAACAGGTTATAAGCTATTTACATTAAAATGGAGTGAATAAAGTGGTGTGAGAAATAATTTATGGTTTCTTTGTAAAGTGATGAGATGCAATTCCTGCAGAGAAGAATAACAGAATTTAATTTAAAGTTTAAAAAACTTGGGAACAAACAGCAGACATCAGAATTGTGTTATACTTTCTTTAGATGCTCTCTTCATTCCTGAAAATGTTTTCACATTATATTTATTTCAAAGCTATTGACATTTTATTATATGACAAGTCATCAGATAAGCCTAGTTAGGTTTACAAGAAGAATATTCCAATAACTCAGATGTCACTGAAATCCTTATCTGTTGAACATTATCATATTCAAACATCGTAGATAAGTAGAGGAAGTTATTATTTATTAAAATCAAACTATATTTATTAGATATAAATTGATCTTAATGAAGAATATTGTTAACAAAAACATTGTTACCTTGCCATAGTGACAGGGTAGATCATAGGTCACCAATAAATCTTTGTCAGTTTCACTATTTGTTTTATGACTTATAGTTGGAATTGGTGATTATTACAATTAGCAAAATAAACTTTCAAAAGAAATACATTAGTGATTATTAATGAAACTGAATATATAAAATGGAACTTTATGATCAACAGTAAAAGTAAAATTGATATTCTAAGATTAAAGGAATTTTTAATGTTCTCTCAAGGTAGTGTTTTTCATCAAAATTTTGGAAATTTCTTGATTTAAAGAGTTACACAAAAAATCAAATCCTTTAATAGTTTCTTAATAATATTTTAGTAAGTTTTACACAGTTTGATTAAGTATTTCTACTGTGAGAAGGAAAAAGTTAAGGGATGTTACCCTCAATCCAGTAAGGATTAATTATTCTTGTAAATAGATAATGAACAGATTCTTACTCCAAGTTAAATTTATTCATTGCAAGCTTTGTGTGACTTTATTGTAGTTTCTCACATTTTGAGTCTGAAAGAATATATAATTGTTATTATTTTAACACGAATCTCCAATTTTATGTTACAAATCAGAAAAAAAGTTTGATAAACAATTCCTGTAATTCATGTTATGAATATGTTATTTTTATTTTTTCATAAAGTTTGTGTTCTAGTTCATGTTAAAATGGAAATATTAAATTAGTTACCTACCTATATGTAGGTTGTTTAAAACTTTGATAAGCAATGAAAAGGTTGTCAAACTCAGTTTCATACATGTAGGCTGGTTAGTAGGATTTATATGCTATCTGTTTTGAATAATCCCAAGTTAATTTTTTAAATTAATTCTTCCTATGCAAGTACGAAGAAAAAATTAACTGTTTTACATTTTTACATAGCCGTACAGTACTTAAAAGTGATTTGGCTTAACTTCTCACACTGGAAGCTATGTTTTGAATCTTGTAAGGTAGCAAGAATTCCCGAATTTTCAATTTGAGACAGCCTTTGTGATATATATATATATATATATATATATATATATTCATTCAGACAAAAGCTTTTACCTATGAAAACAAACTGTATCCATTTAAAACTTTTAAAATCATTAAGGTAAACCCAAAATATTCAGAACTATGCAAAAAGTTTAATTTTTAGAAAATTGTGAATACCCCCAAAAAATGTTGATGGATCTATTTATCCATCATGTTTCTTCAAATAAAGGTTTCAAAATTAGTTATCTGGGGCTCATTTTCTATTTTAACAACTAAAATAACCAGTACAGTATTAATTGTTTGGACAGTCTCTTTTTCTTTTTAGATGAAATTCATGTATAAAAGAAGAAATATATGTCCTTTGTTGTTTATTCTTGAATCTACAGTTAAATAGAAGAATTAAAATTGACCATTTTCCTTATTTGTTATCATGACTGTTTCATTAGCTGACAATAGATAAGACAACAGTTAATTTAGATTATCATGTTTTTCATATTTCATAGAATAATCTAATGTTAAAAGTGCCAAATATGAATAAGAAATGTAATTACAATTTGTATATAGTTTACAATTTTGACAGTATTTCATGGTTTTATGATTGCACCAGTTTCATTAGTATTATGATTAAAATAGAATAAAGGGCCAAGTTATGACCCAGTGGCTAGACTATGGGTTTATGGGTCCTTTGTGTTAGCATGTTAGACAATGGATTTATGGGTCCTTTGTGTCAGCATGTTACACTATGGATTTATGGGTCCTTTGTGTTAACATGTTACACTATGGATTTATGCGTCCTTTGTGTTAGCATGTTACACTGGATTTATGGGTCCTTTGTGTTAGCATGTTACACTATGGATTTATGGGTCCTTTGTGTTAGCATGTTACACTATGGATTTATGGGTCCTTTGTGTTAACATGTTACACTATGGATTTATGGGTCCTTTGTGTTAGCATATTACACTATGGATTTATGGGTCCTTTGTGTTAACATGTTACACTATGGGTTTATGGGTCCTTTGTGTTAGCATGTTAGACTATGGGTTTATGGGTCCTTCGTGTTAGCATGTTAGACTATGGGTTTATGGGTCCTTTGTTTGTGCCCTGCATGTTAAAGCTATGAACTTTTTATAAGGGTATGGTCAAATCCCATTGTTTGGTTTCACAAGAGTAGCCAAATAGTTGTTGGTGGTGGATGTTATTGATTAGCTGCTTTCCTATATTCTATCAGTTCAAAATTAAGGACAGCTATCACATATAGCCCTTGAGTAACTGCATGAATATCCAAAAACAACTAATGAAATAACAGTAAAATACAAGGAAAGGAAAATATTTCATTGTATTTTAATTAAACTAAGTATTTATTCTAATTATAGTAGACAGTATTCAGAAATCTTCTTGTTTTGTTTATTGTACAAGTAGATGGCATTTTTGTGAGGAAGTAACGGTCTATAAAAACAATTATTCCTTCTGCTTAAACAAAAAAATCATGTTTTTGTGCCACTAAAAAAAGTTTTATTTTTTGTTTCAGATGGATTGTGTAACGTTTTGTGAAGTTTCTCCTGAAGATGTGTTTGGACCAATCAGGCCTTTGTCTGGAAGGTATAAAAATAGTTTGTTAAACTTCATGTGATTACCTACTACAGATATTGTATTGAAGAAAGCAATCAAAAACTAAACATTTAGACAAAATGGTACTGTTAGAATTTAAAAAATTAGTTTTTGTTGTTCCATTAACCTTAACATTAGTAGTTTGTTATTAAAGGCAGCATGTAGAATGTAACATTGAAATAAAAGTTAAATAGTTTCAACTGCTTCATTCTTACTTGCTGTTTCAACTAAACTTTTAGTATGTTGTAAATAGACAGAAAATGTCTTTGTGTGTGATATCAGAATGTTTTGGTATGCTAAATTATAAAATAGTTAGGAACACTAAACTACATGTGTGAGTATTGCTGAAACTGGCTGTGAGGTACTACTAACGAATGAAGTGATCGATATTATTACCACTCTTCTTTCAATGTTTCCTCTCAAGGTTTATCAAACGAAAAGGTTCTGCTTTATTACTACTGTATTTTAAATCTCTTACAGTTGTAGCAAATGCCTAGAATCTCTAGGTATTTAATAATGGCAGTTTGAAAAAAAAATGGGAAAAATGATTATCAAAATATAACGAATGTTTATTGGTAACATTGAATAGCAACATAAGGTTTCACATTATTTCAATATGAAACATGTAGGCTTGGTATTAGAATTTATATGCTGTCTGTGTCAGCTAATCCTGAGTTGATTGTTCCAAATCAGACTCACAGAAGAACATGCTAAGTCACATGTCATTTGATGGCTTTGAATAGTTTGAAATAGCTTGTAAGAATGAAGGTAATGGTGTAGAATCTACACTGTAGATAAATGATTTCTAAACTAATATTTAATCAGATTAAGGTTACCCTGTTGGGTTGTTTCAGTTTTAACTTGTACATATGAACTGTGAAGAATGAAACATCTGATGGAATTTAGCTCATTTAAAATGTTTACATCTGCTGTTTTAGAATGTTTTCTTAACATCTTGTACATAAAGAACTTGTTCACCATTATAACAACATGGTTATTTATGCATTGAGGACCATAGTATTCCATGCTTGTAGATTTTGTAGGTTTGAGAGATTGATCTGCAGTTTGTCAACCAGTTATTTTCAGAAGTGGAAAAACTTAGAGGATAAATTAAACTTTTTTAAGTTAGGCTTAGATCAGTGTACATTATGAAATTTGAATTCATATACTAAAGATTGATGTTTTTCAAAACAAAGATGAAAGACATGATATAATTTTTAAAAAAATGTGTTCTTATATCTTTTTGTTTTGTTTTTAATAGATAGCTCTCAATATTTTGAGGTAGATGAGGGTGCAGTAACTGAATATGTTGTTTTTAAATGTCAGTAGTAGCTTTATTTAGCTAAGCTCTCTATTTTGGGCTAATAGATATGTTGTCTAATTTCAAATTTAATGTAACATTGTGTATGTGGAATTCAAAGGAATAAAACACAGGTTGCACTTGGCAATGTATCTTAATCATGTGGATTCTTACAAAACTGGCTGAAAAAACTAATTCTTAGGTAAGTAGGAATACAAAAGATAATAGACAACAAGGGACCATTTGGTCCTTCAAGACTGCCCCTGTACACCCACACTTGAAAAAAAGTACAAATTTTAATCCATCCTATATTTTTCAGAAAATCATCTATTACTCTATTAAACTTATCTAAGGTGCTGGCCTCCACTCGTATTGGTGGTAATTCATTCTGTAAGTTTATCATCCTTAATTGGAGCCTTGTCTTTTTTTGAAATCTTTAATTTGTGCTGTCTTGTTCTCTTGTCTTCAGAATATAGCACAAAGATGTTTTTATCCTATTGATCCCCAGGATAATTTTGTGAACTTCGATACCATCTTTTCTCAAGAGAAAATAAGTTAAGAGATCTCAGTGTATTCCTATAAGATAACTCTTACTTTCGATATGGTATCTTTTCTCATTTCACATAATAGCTTCTCTCATTCATTGCTGCCTTCTATATGTACAGAGGTTTTCACTCTTCACTAGCCTTGAAACTCCTACCTACTCCACATTCAACTTGGTTCCACTGCATCTTTGCATGCAACTAGGCATCAATAAGAGTGAGACGCAATCTCCTGATGCAAGTTACTCCCTCTATTCAGCCTAACCTTCACTTCTCATTTAAGCACAATTGTATTCGGACGTTACAACATATTGCTCGTGTTTTAAACTTTGGGCTTAATTTTTTGTGTTTTTTTTTTCGAAGTAGTAAATTAACTTATGGTTTTGAGAGAATGTAAATTCTTCATGAATTACTTTAGTTGAACCATAAATTATGAATTTCCTATCATGCATACCACTATCGTGACTTCTACTACTACTTCATCTGTCATTTCTCAGGCTTCAGGTTCTACACTTTTGTCTGAGGATATCTCAGCCTTAGTTCCACAGGAGTTTGAACACTACATGGGATAGCCAGCTTCTCCTGAACTTGTACATAATTCTTCTTTTCTAGAGGAGTCTGGTTTTGATGATGCCGATTTAGAGAGCTTTCTTCCTCCCTATCCTATGCTGTGCAATCCCATTTGTTACCTGTGGATGTTGCCAGGCTGCCCTCAGCCATTTTGGATATGCTTTTACAGGTGTGTTACATTTTGTCGGTATCCCTCGTCTCATATGTCCCTGCATCTACCCTTTCTACAAATGGTTCCTTCATCAGAATACCATGTTTTTCCCCCCTCTCTGGATTTCAGAATCCATGCTGACCTGTTCCAGGCCCAATTATGTTCAGGATCTAGAATGCCTTGTACCTCTTTGGTTCAGTTCTGCCATATTTACCCTATCTCCCGAGTCCCATTATCTTTTCTTGGTGTCATCTCACAAGATTTAACACCTTACTTTTTCCCTGGAAGCTCATCTGCATCATCCTTTGGAGGACATAATCCAGTCTGGCATGTGGACTACACCTACTATGTTCATCTCCCACTACCTACATCATGTGGCTGTTTCCTGCTCATCCAGATATCACATTCCACCTGTTGCCATTCTAACATGATGGTTCAACTGTGAATTGGTAAGTTTACTTTTCTCCCTCTCATACAGAGTCATGTCCTTTATATGTAATGGATCCTGCTCGGTGGTGAGTGGTGCCTGTCCAGGTATACTTTTGGCTATCAGTTGCACAATCTACACTGTACAGCCCATCACACAAAGAGTGTATATATATAAATACCATCTGGTGTTACCCCCCTGCACACCACCTCCGATGGGTCAAAACTTGGAGGCTTGTGTAGCAAGGAGCTGGACTAGGCAAGTGGTAGGCTGGGATGCCCACCAGAGAAAACCACGGGCTGGACTTGTGAATCTGTATATATACACTGAGTGGTCACAAGTAAATATACACCTAATTTTTTGTCATTTAACTGATTTATGCCAATTAATTTGTGTTCACAGAGCACTATATAAATGAAAATGGTCTGCACACTAATTATCTTGTGCTACAACATGGCTAGAACTCAAGGTTCGCTCGAATTGTCAGATTTTGTTAGAGGAAGAATAGTTGGTCAAGCAGATGGTGGAATAAGTCAGCGGCAAAATTCGCAGAATTTGGGAATCACGCTTTTGACAGTCAACAGAATCATTGTGCAGTTCAGGAAACACGACAAAGAAACAACTGAGCAGAGAGGACAAAAAGGGCTGTCAAGAGGAGC